AGGATTTTATTAATAAAATTTAGATCGGTGCATTAACTTAAATAGAATTTTAGTCTGTACTGGAATCACTGTCTAACAAAATGGGGAAAAACTCATTATTTACAATTGCGACACAGAAAAAGTTGTGTTACATCCCCAGATCATTAAACAGAGCTGATTCTTTGACAATTTCTCAAATATGCCTACCTTATTTCCCGGTCATTTTTCACTATTTTAAAGTCTTTATTTCCTTGTTATTTTAAAATAGTCAACCAAATCCTTTGTTTACAAATTTTAGAAATTTGCAAAACGTAAAAAACATCATCGGCCACTCTTCCTAGTGGATAATAAATATTTTGAACCATCTAATTATTTATTGTATTTTGGGGGAACTTTCCTTTACTTATATATCTGATGCTGAATTGTCATTTTTTATTTATTTTACTAGTCGCACAATCCTCTTGAAAGACAAATTAAAATATTTCCAGCTGTTAATAAACTTTACCTAATTCATACTCAAATTGGAAAAAATATAGGTATGAAGTTACTATATGAAAATAGAACAGGATATGTAAATCAAAATTTCTCATGATTTTCATGAAAAAGGACTTTTATCAAAGAAATTTGAAAAATTCAAAACGATAGTTGAATGTAGAAAATAAGAGACAACGAGTAAAAAGTAAAAATTAGACCGAATGGAAAATAGATCAATGGGTCTAAAATAAAGAAACCATTTATTGATTAAATTAACTGCAAAAGATAATTGTAATTGTTTACTGAAAAATACTACTGACAGAACTGTCATCATGAATACGCCAAATAGTCTCACCCAACATGTTTGCTACAGTAAGAATAGTTAACTGTGGGAAATAGTTCTTCTCTGCAACCGGAATGGTGTTCGTAATAATCACCTCTTGGAATAAGCCACCCGACAACCTCTCGATTGCTGGAGGACTGCAAATAATCGAATAAAAAAATTAATGAGACTTTGCCAACTATTTTTTTTTGTTCCTGAAACATCCATCCAACAATTTTTTTTTATTATTATATTATTATTTATCTATCTTATTTTATTATCATTCCATTAATTAAATTAAAACATATTATATACTAGATGTTTGCAAATCGAAGAGTGTCAAAAAATCTTTACTCAATAAAAAAACAACCACCATAATATGACACTGGTTCAAATATAAAACTGAAATGAAAAACATGAGCATCACAATGAAGGCCTACAGTAAAGCATACATACACCTCTAGATATGCATAGGCTTATTAATCTAAAGAAAGAAGGGTAAACAACGCCCAATAAGATTATTAGCAATACTGATTACCGAATAATTAACTAGAGATTAATAAGATAAAGACCAGAAGAAGTTATTGAGGAACATGGCTTCAGATTTTGGCGGTAAACTCGAAACCCAACTTCCACTGCTTCAATTATTTACTAGGGAGACAAAGAAAACAGAATGAAAAAATGTCATAACCTAAGGCGATACCTGAAAACAGCATGAGTGCAGCACGCATACACTTCCCTAGCTCCCTCTTCGTGTAACAGTGCCGCACCCTTAGCAATGGTCCCTAACGTCCAAATCAATAAGAATCATATGAATACCAACAGATATCAATTATGAAGGAGCCAAAACAAACTAACGCAACCATCACTCTTGCCTACTGAACAAAGAAGAAACACGAAAAATGATCCATAGGGAAATGCAAGCTGAAACTTATCAAACATAGGCCATCTTTTTCAAGGCAATTGGATGGAATAAAATATGACTGAATTTTTCCCCATCAATTAAAATCTTACGATAGTGTACTACTGTTATTATTTAATTAAGTCTTGTCTCTAAAACTAGATTTAGCAGTTCCCCAAAGAACATAAGTTCATGAAAATACTTCTAAGATTAGCAATGCCAAAATATGCTAAAGAACATTCGGAATCCGTTCGATAAAATGTCCATGAAGACAGATATCACGAATTCAATCTTTAGAATGTAGCCAGTCCAGGAAAATACATTAGGCAAAATAGAAAGGCAGGATGTCAGAGCAATAAAGTAACATTATAGAGAAGATATACCAATAAAAAGTTCTGGTACTCCAATATACCTAAAACTTCAGTTTACCACGTAAAAATCATGTGCAGTAAAGAAAAACAGGATAAAACAATCTCTTTTTTCAAATTTCAAAATAGGGCACTGAAATTGACATACCAGCAGTGTCAATCATATCATCCACCATTACTGCAACCTTTCCTCTAACATCACCAATCAGATTCATCACCTGTAGGGGAAACATGGGAAAACATAAAACAGATATATACAACAGGAGATCCATGTTGTTAACTTCAATTTAGTCTAGAGGATAATTAGTATACTCTAAAAATAGATAAACTAAACTATGAGAACATTCACAACTAACATGTCACCTACATGTCCAACATTTTCAACCAACCACAGAAGATAGACTTTTAGGCACATAATATTGGAGCATTATTATCCCTCCAGAAACTCAAATAATTCACGTCCTTATCAAAACCAATAAGTCCAGATAAGAAACTAGACACTAAGAATGTGACTTTATATCGAGAAGCATGGATCGCAATAAGAATTTGTATTATTATCCAAAAGGATAATATGAATATTGTGCATATCTAATGAAATTAGTAAAAATTATAAGATTGGATTATCACAAAACAATGCAATAACCTACTATTCAACTGAAACAGGACAGAGCACAGCATTACTTCCAAATTCAGGCAGAGCAAATATAAAAGCAAGAAAGTCTCTTACTAATCAACTTTCATCTTTTTCAGATGAAATTTAAATAAAAATATAATAATGCAAAAGTAATCATTTAACATACAACACATCACATAGATGATATCAATGGCCACATATGTTGATTAACCAAAATGTTTCACAGAGGACAAATTTATTTATGGAAAATTATTGATGATAATGAACACCAAAGAAAACACAATAATGACAGTTCAGGCATATGCTCCACTGCATAAATGGAAATTCAAAAAAGAAATGCAGTACGTCAAAGATAATGCACAGATTTTGTCACAATAATTACCTCCGCAACATTGTGTCCATGTCGCCTTTTGTCTACAATAGCTAAAGGGGCATCAGATAACTTCTTTGCAAAAGCACGTGCTCTTGCAACACCACCCACATCAGGAGAAACAACCACCAAGTCACTTGAACTTATTGTCTTGCTGGCGAGATAATCAAGGATGACAGGCTAGTGGACATAATAAACAATAGTATTAGAAAACATGTTGCCAGGAAACAAACTACAACAATTCAAACCTTACTTACTTGACAATGAACATGATCCACGGGAATATCAAAGTATCCCATGGACTGCCCTGAATGAAGGTCACAAGCAAGAACCCGGTCTGCCCCAGCCTTCGTAATAAGGTTTGCAACAAGTTTAGCAGCAATTGATTCACGCCCTTGAGTCTGTAAAAGAAGAAATGAAATCAAATATATATATATATATATATATATATATATATATATATATATATATATATATATATATATAGCTTTGAGTATATCATTGACCAAAAAAGGAAACCAATTTGAAAAAAAAAATCTCCAAGTATTAGTACATAAGATAATGGGGGAACCAACCAGAGACATCACAAAACAGTCAGAAAATTTGCAGAAAGAGAACAAAAGTACACCAATGTAATAAACCAAACAGTCAAACAACCTTGTCTGCCGCACTGAATCTCAGTAGTAGACCCTTTAGTATAAACTAAAACTACTGGTTATATAAGAAAACCGTTTAAGTGCAAAATACTTGCCTTTCTATCAGCTCTGGCATATCCAAAGTATGGAATCACAGCTGTGATATTTTTGGCCGATGCTCTCCTACAAGCATCAATCATTATTTTAAGCTCCATGAGATTCTCATTTGCAGGAGGGCATGTTGGCTGTATAAGGTATACATTACAACCTCTAACACTCTCTTGTAACTGGACATAGATTTCACCATCGGCAAAACGCTTGATGGAAATCTTTCCGAGTTCGAGACCCATGTACCGAGCAATTTCCTAATGAAACCAACACAGTTAGAGAACAGCAAAACTCAACAAAAACCAGTTAAATATCCAATACAATAGGTAACTAATAGATTCTGAATTCAAGAAATAAGCTGTTTCAGTACCCATCATATCTATAACCACAAATTGACGCACACCACTGCCGCTAAATGACATCTTTGATACAATCTGATATCATTTTTCAACTATATTGATCCTTCCAATAAAAAATAAAATTAGTAATATTTATTGAATTCATTAACATAATTGAAGAGAATCAACTGAGAAAGTCTCTAAAAGTTATTAAGTCAAGAGTCGTCATATGATGAGAAAGTCATTAAACTTGCATGTCACTGAAAAAGTCATTAAACTTGCATGTCACGGTCAAATTAGTTCCAAAGAACCTGATGGTTCAACGAATACACACTAGTTCCCATTCAGGAATTGAAATATCTTCCAACACTACTAAGACCATCCACTGAATAATAAAGCTAAAAAATAACCTGAGAGAGTACAGGGTTGGCAGTGCCTGAGAACAACTTCAACCGGTTACTGTTTCTGCTGACCGTCTTCTCCGCCCTGGCTGATTCCAAGAATTTCGGCAGCGTCCGTTCATTGAGAACAGGAATGATCGGTTTTCCATTAGGGAAATTTGATGAATCCGACATATCACATTTCTGCCATTAAAACAAAAGAATGGCATAATCTTGAGAAAAATAATAAGTAAAAAATGCGGGGAAAAAAAAAAAACAAAGCGGATAATCATATGATTACCACGCTGTAAGGTGCGAGGATTCGAGCACGGGAATTGTCCACGAATCCTAAGGTTAGACGAGTGGGGGTATGGGAGGTGCCGGTGAAGAGAGAAGAGGAAGAAGACGAAAAAGTCATGGTGGAAGAAGAAGCAGAAGAAGGTTGAAGGAATGAGGATGCCATGAGCGGAGTAACCAACAGGTTAGGGTTTTTAAAGTGTCTTCTTCCCTGCAAGAGAGAGAAGAGAGATTTGGATTGGAGCAGAGCGAAGCGAATTTCGAGCTCTGTTGCCAGTGGTGGCGGGTCTTCTTATTTTCCACGAGATTCGGCTCTTTATGTGCTCGCGGCTGGGGGTCACCGCGCGACGTCGTTTTACCTGAATAAAGTAATATTAATCAATCAGGGGAATAAATACTACTGAATAGAAAATAATATAATTAAATACTAACGTATAAAGCTTGTGAATGTAACGCAGGTTTTGGTTCATGTTCGTGTTTATCTTCACAAAAAAAGACAAAAGATTATAGAGTGTTTTAAATGAATTTCAATACAATGGAGATTAGCTTTGACTCTTTTGAATAATTTTAAATCCAGTTCAAAAATTAATTTTTAATATTTATCTATTAAAATATGAAAGATTATTATAGATGATAAAATATTTTTTTGATATTTATTGTATTTGTATATTTAATATTATAATTAATTGCATATTAATAAATTTAAATAATTTGCTATTTATTTGTGTGGCAGGTGTGAATGCAATTTTATGAATTCTTAAATAATAAAAACACTGTACGTTTTTTAAATTTATTTTAAAAGCTAAGTTTAGAGATATTTCTAAATGGAAAATGTTAAAACAACAATTATAATGTCAAACAAAATATAATATCATATCATGCAGTTTTTTCTCTTGACTTGGAAAAGGGTTTTAATTTTAAAAAAAATGTTCTTAACTTGAAAAAAAAAAATAATTGAAGAAAAAGTATTGAGAAGGATATGAAGAGTGAGGAGGAATTTGTCTTTTGGATGCATGCTGTGGTAGAGTTTGTGTAATGCCAAAGGAGGGTATTTTGTTTGGATTAGGACATAGGAAGATTTTGTATTAGTCATAATCTTAGCGATTGAACAAAAAGTGCATGTTCCTGATTGTGAAATTGAAATCTTATTTGCCACTGCTTTTGCTCCGGTGCATGGCATCTTTTTGTTAAATCAATATGAATATGTTCTCCATTGTGCGCCCATTTAATATATTTTTTCTTCGTGGCATGTTTATATGAATGAAAAAAAGATATATTATATGTTTTGCTTTATCTAATTAAAAAGAAAAAAAAACATTAAAAAACTTCTGTAAAAACAAACATTCTTATTTCTCTTTTAATTTTTTTTGAAGGTATTTGGTAGAAGTAAATTATTTTTATAATAAAGAATCCTGAAAATTTAATTCTTACAAATTAAAAGGAAATTATTAATTTTATAAAAATTTTAATTTCTTATTGCATTGAATTATTTAATAAAATTATTATGATATATTTTTACAGTCAAATCTTTTTTTTTTCAGTAAAGTTAAGTTTCCACCTTCTACATTAAAATATTTGTTAATTGAAAATGTTGTAAAATTTTAAGGGGAACCTTATTTTCTATTACTGTTATTTTTAAACTAGTAAATCAGATATGGAAAAAAAAAGTCAAATAAACAAAATAAAAATAAAAAGGCATCTTCCAAACACTCCATAATCTAAATTATAATTTTTTATCAACAGTTTTATATACTATGGAGAAGTTTTGTTCCCATTTTCCTCCATCTAGCAATATGTGTATGATAAAAAAAAATTATTAACAAAAATTTAATTAGCAATCATGAGAAAATTTACTCATTAAATTAAATATATAATTAACCTCAATATTACCATTAAATACTATGTTTGTTAAATATAATATATTAAATTGATTATTAAATATAATTTATATTAATTAAATATTTAACATTTTATATTAATAAGAAAATATGTTTTTATACTATATTAATTAATATATTGTTCTATTTATGATGATCTCCTATTATTACAAACTTTTTATTTAATTCTAATTAATCTTTAAAAGCATACTATTTTTAAAAATTTAGAAATAATTTATTCAGAATAAATTATACTTACCTGTCTTAAGGTTATAGGAAATAATATTTTTTTTATAATTTAAAATACACATTTTCATCTCATATCTTTTGAATATTAAATATATTTAAAAAATCATTATATTAAATAATAATTTATGAAACTTTAAATTTAAATTTTAAAATATATTTTTTGATAAACAACGAATTAAAGAGTTTAATAATTATATATTAAAAATGCTGTCTAATGAAAATAAAAATAAACTTATAAGTTTTATAATAATAAATATAATTAATTTTTTTAGTATTTAACACGTGTTAATATAAAAAATAAATTAATAATCTTATATTTGACCAACTAAAATTTATATGCAAAATAATTATTAAAACATTTTTAAGTGAATTTCAAAATGCACAAAAACAATATATTATTATGTGAATTAGATCCAAATGTGGAAAAAAAATCATATATTTGTAAATATGGAAAGGTCATAGTTTAAATATAATCCAGAATAATACAATGAATAATATTAAGTATTTTGAAACGTATATAAAAAAATTAAATATATTAAATTTGTCAAAAATATATATAAAAACTTCTCCTATAATCAAGTTTATGTAAAAAAAATATAATATATTCTAAAAACTTATATAAAAAGTAGTTGAATCAAACAGATAAATAACATATAGATATAATAAAATAAGATTTTATATAAAAATAATATATTAAAAAATATCAATAATATTATATTATTAAATAATTATTTATAAAATTTAATAAATATTAAAATTTTAACCATCATTAAAGTAAGAAAAGGATTTATAATTAAAAATAACATATAATACAAAGAAGAACAAGTTTTTATGATTAATTTTAATGTTACACTAATCATTATTATTATGTTAATTATTATAATTATATATATATAATGTTTAAATTATAATTTTAATATAATTATATATTATCATATGTAACACCTCAAAATTTATAATGTAAAAAAAATTCAGACACATTACATTAAAATTATATTATTAAGTAATTTAAATATATTTATAATAAAACAAGTATTTATAATATATATATATATATATTATTAATTTATTATAAATAATATTCCTTATAATTATTTACTATTATTAAAATAAAACTATATTAATTAAAAAAATTATTATTTATTGTAATTATTATTAATTAAAATAATAATAATAATAAATAACAAAATAATTATTATCAATTAGAATATATATATATATATATATATATATATAATTATCAATAATTATTATTATATATTATGAAATTATTATTACTAATTATATATATATATATATATATAATTAACAATAATTATTATTATAATATATTATGAAATTATTATTATTATTAATTATTATTATTATTATTAATTATTATTATTATTATTATTATTATATACTATTACAAGTAAAATATATAAATATAATATGAATTAATAATAATAATAATTATTATTATTATATTATATATTATTATTAATATATAAAAGAAAAAAATAGCATTACTTATCTTTGTATAAGAAGAGGTAAGTCTTACTTCACCAAAGACGAAAAATAATAATAATCATTTAATAAAAGAGATAAGAAGTATTAATGAGATTAAAAAATAAATGTACAAATTTATTTATATATATATATATACATATATATATATATGTATATACATATATATATATACATATATATATATATATATATGGATTAAGGTGTGGTGAAAAAAAAAAGAAAAAAGAGAGAGAAGTGAAGGAGAGAGGGAGATAGAAAAAAATAATAATTTGGAGACAAATTTTGGTGTATCATATGTAATATTGAAATAGGAAATGAGACTATTATAATTTTATCTATTTTATTTTAATAATATTATGAGGTGTAACCTCATTTATTGTTACTTATTTATTTATCTTCAACTATATATTAATATGTCTTATGTTTATTTATTTATCTTCAGTTATGCACTGGTCTTATTTTAATTATCTTCAATTACATACTGGTATTGATCTTGCCTTATGTTTATTTATTTATCTCCAATTTTACACGGGTCTTATTTTAATTATCTCCAGTTATGTATTGGTCCTGCTTTATGCTTATTTATCTTTAGTCTTGTACTAATATTATTTTAATTATCCCCATTACTTATTTATTAATTTATATTTATATTGTTTAATTATTTTTAAATAGTAATATTTATTTATGAAGATTTAATGATATTACAAATAGAGGTTGAATCTTGAGGATTGAAATAAGTAGATATTACTAAGAACATGGTTAAATTTGATTCATTTATTCTGACTAGTCACTACAAATTTAATTCAAATCTTCATAACATAGAATGTATTGAGGAAGTTGAAAATCATATTTTATATATATCATTATAATATTGTATTATTTTAAATGATAATTATCTTTTGTGTCTATTATATTTAAATATCAACTTAAGTAGATAGATGCATCGAATATCTCAAATTCCTTTTTGCAAGCATCACTATCTTCTTTCTAGAAACTACTTGGAACACAAACATTATTGATACATCGGTTACTTTTAAAGGGACATGGTTATCAGTATTAACATTTGCATCTGATATGAGAATTCTCATGATGCTAAATGGATCAATAGTGGTCACTTTTTGTATGTCTCCTATCATTCACCAAAACCCCTTAATCATTTTATTTTCACCAACAATGTAAATATTTGTATAATTGTAGTAAAAATTGAAGGAATAAAAAATAAATAAAATTCATTTTTCTTTTATATATCCTATAAAAAAAAGTAATGTAAATTACTTCTATATATAAAATATCTTTATTTTACTTGTTACCCTTATAAAAAAAATGTCACATTATCAAAACAACGTTTCATTCTAACCTATGAAATGAATCTATCATGAAATTTTATGAATCCTAACTTGTATAATTCCATATGGCAAATATAACAAGAGGAACAATGAGTTGACAGAAGCGGTACAAGTTATCAGAGACATGACCGTTGTATTATTAAGGGGTCAAAGACCTAAGAGAACCAATGAATCACAAGGTTCAGTTGAATTTAGAATAAACAAACCTTCACAATTCTCTAAAGGTCCCAGAAAAGGCTGAATTGTGGGTTAAAAAATTATAAAAAATATTTTGAGTTATTAATTGTGCTGACAACCAAAAGGTGAATTACGTTGTGCTTATGTTAGTAGGAGAGACTGAATATTGGTGGGATAGTACCAGGAGATTATTAGAAAATGAAAGAATAATTATTACTTGGGAGGTGTTTAGAACCAAATTTTTAGAAAAATATTTTCCTAATGATGTGAGGAGAGCAAAAGAAATATAGTTTATACAATTAAACAAGGTAT